TCGTTTATTCAGAGAAATTTGATCTAGAATTAGTTTTCCTTTGAGACTTATCCCAAAAAATTAATTAGTAGATAAAATTTTAATGTAATTTTCATACAAACTATTGTCCCGAGGTACATGGAGCCTAACAACACGTAAGTATCGCCTGTATACTCCGTGCTTTGTTTAATATTTATTTTTGTTCGCCTTGGGCAACATATATTTTCGTCTCTAAATCTACTCTGTATATTTAGAACCCCTACAAGCCCAAACGCCTATATCGGAAATTGTACAGGAGTTTTTAACTATATTTAAAAACAGGATCAGAAAGACCCCAATCTTGACTCGCTTGAGGGTTAACATTTTCAATCAAAATATTTTTGATGTTGAAGACACTATATACAAAACATTCCCGAATCTTAATCCGAAAATTCCCAAAAGTATGGGGATAACTTTTCCCCTCTATTTTGGGTACTTTTCGATGTAATGTAAATATACATGTCTTTTTCGTGTAGCTCTACTTTTATAATTTGCTGGATCTTCCCCGCAATAATTTTTTGTATTGCACAGTGTTATCTGGCTCATATACAGCGAGGTGTATTATTCATAATCTGCAGTAAATTGACAGTTGGTGTTTTCTGTTTGTAGTTAACATTCTTGCAGAGAACTATAACGATAACGGGTACCTCCAAATATTCGATATTTTTTGGGTTAATTTTACACTTGCCACCTACTACCTGCTATTATAGAAAATTGCCGTAACAGCTCCACGTCTTCTTATAGCTCACATATAATGGTACTTTTCGTTATTTCGCATTTTCCGATTTTCGCCACATTCAAGGGAGTAACCTCAAAATTGGTATTTGAAGTTCGCAACATGCCTTCTCTGGCAGATAAGTGGCAAATCAACAGTGTAAGGCTGAGCTGCCTGCGATCTTTTTTGGTTTAATGTTACACTTGCCACTAACTACCTGCTATTATAGAAAATTGCCTTAACAGGTCCACGTCTTCGTATAGCTCCCATATAATGGTACTTTTCGATATTTCGTATTTTCCGATTTTCGCCACATTTCAACGGAGTAACCTCAAGTAACCTTCTCTTTCAGATAATTGGCAAAACACGCCCACGCTTTCGTATTTTTCAACAGTGTGGGGCTGAGCTTAGCTGTATTTTTTCACTTGTTATATCCATCTAAAGTGTTAAACGTAACACGTAGCACAGTAAACTTACAAATAAAGAGTAAAGGCTTATTTCGTTGGAAATTATGGTTCGAACCTTAATTTCTTTGCATGGGTACTTACGACATATTATTGAAATATGTTGGACTTCCATCTAAAAACTATTTTTAATTATTTCCATATATTTTTAATTTTAAACTGATGTAACATCATGTTCTAAGAAATTTATAAAGTTGTAAAGATTAATGACATTAAAAAGGGCTTGCCGCATTATCGATAACGAATCAGTATTTCTTTATAACACAACATACATGAAAGAAATGTTGTTGTTACCTTTCCATTAAATATGAACTGGTTTTGCATGAAAGCCATTATATTTCGTATGCAAATTAGCATAGACTGTCATTATGCAATGCCTTACGTTGTAAACGATAAATCATAACAAGAAAAAAGGGGAAATGCATAATTATTTTTTTCTTTCTTCGTATGTTTCAATTATTTGCATAAAATGTACATTTTAGACAATGCAATACCTTTTGTGCATCAAAGTACGAGTATTTACATGTACTTATGTCTGGATGCTGGCGAACATAATCGATTTTCTTTGAGAAAATATAATCCTAAGCATGTACTCTAGGAAAGGTGAGTGGTGGAACTGGTTACAATGTTCCACTTTGGAAAGAGATGAAAGGAATTAATAGAGTGCAAATAGAATACAATTTCAAGAGGATATAGTTTATTTTATTACAAAAATGAGAATAAAAACTCCATATAGAGTATTTAACATGTGCTCAGGTGAGGTTCAAATATATTTTACAATAAAACACCATCAAACTCGAAACATACCAGCACCAATACAATACAAATAAGTATTACTTTTTTAATACAACTAATCGTTAGAAAATGATGGGATTTTTATTGTCAAAAGCATTTTGCTTTAAACTCGCAATTTTGTTCCCCGGAGGATAATCTTAATTTCTTCCGTCAGCTATTATGGACTTATGGTAAGAGCACTAAAAGCTTTTAGACAAACCACAACTCACATGTAAGTGACTTGTTGAACAAAGAGAAAACTTGATGCGGGCCGAGATAGCAACACCGAAGCAAAGGCAACATTCAGAGGCTTTACAAAAAAAGAAGTGATGGACAAAAGGTGGAAAGGAAGAATGGGTCACCACAACTTTTTTTCGGTTGGTCTTCTTATTGTTACAGGCCATATAGACCATAAGTATTCTTTTCTTATCAGAAAATAAACCAAACTCACCCTTTGAAACAAAATCTGTGTGGTGACATGTTGTTTTTTTTTTTTTTTTTTTTTTTTTTCATCGACATTTTATTCTGGTCACAATGAAGAAGTCTTCGAACACTGACACGCATGCCCTTTGAAACAGAAATTCCTTGCCGACTACATCCTGTAAATTAGGTTGTGTTTAAAGTTTCAGGTTATACCCTATGTCCCTGTAGTCGGGTTTAACATTACACAGCTCAAATTACACTGAGGTGACATGTTTTTTCACATGATTGCCTAACAGCAGGAAAGTAACTAACAATGGCCGTAACCAACCAACCAACCACTATATTTTCCAGGGTGGTAAAATGTTCGGTGATTTGTAGTCATTGTATACCATAATAATAATTAGGAAATCATGATTCATTATGATCATGCTGTGATTATGTAAGAGCAAGAGAAAGAAAGACAGATTTTATGAGAATTTTTAGTGTGATTATCGTCAACCATAATCACTTCTCGTGAGGGTTACAACGGATTTTTTTTTCAATTTCTAATCGTTAAATAAAAATATGGCATTTTAATGAATGGATCAAAGTTTAAGAACATATTGTCAAAAACTATGAGTATTGATTCATAAAATTTTCTATTTGAGGTTATGTTTCCAACAGCATAACACAAAAGACTGGAACAGTTTTAAAGTTATACGACTGACCATTTTTCGAATAATCTTTGAAAAATGAAGCAATTTATTTATAAGCTAAGGAGGATATTTTTCAGCAAAGAGATATTTTGTTCAGAATGTAGTCTCTGAGAAGTTCAAATTATATGATCTTTAAAGAGTTGTTAAAACAGTTGGGTTGCGGTGTTAAGTGTAAGGTAAAGCCCTGCCCCAGATATTTAATAAGAGGTCAGGTTATATAAAGCCTTGTAATTGCTCCACACTGAGACTTTTGGGGCCAGTGTAATTGTCCTAAAATATTGTACCATAAATAAATGAGAGAGTATGTAGATAAAATATTGAGAATTTTGAAATAAGTACCCAAACCAAATGTTGTACGTCCGACACGTCTGCTCAAAGTCGGAAGTTTTTTCCCACATGTCTGACCGATCGACGAATTCTGCCAATTTGTCGGAGGATTTTTTTCTCTTATTGTAGAGTTCTTTTCTCTTCTGGTTAATTTGTTGTAAGAAAGCAAAAATGGAAAAAATGGAGTGATTTTCTCTCTTTTTTGGAGAGGTTTTTTGTGCTTACATATTGTCCGACCTGGGTTCATAAATCGGCTAAAATTTCAGACTTTCATCCGGCACTTCGATCCTACAAAAGGTCAGCCACTCCATATAACGGTTCAAAGTGGGACCAAACATTGACAGTTTGTGTCGCTAGTAATACCGAAGTTTGTATTTATATACGATCTCTGTATGTGTATTGGTTTATGAATTACAGCTATTTTAGTGATAACTTCATTAATTTCGAAACATGTAAGTATTTTGAAAAAATGTCCATGAGTGACTGTCGGACCAATTCATAAACGCCTAGGATTAACGGCTGAAGCTAAAATCACGAAATTGTATACGTGGTTCAATGATGGTGCAGTTTTTAGAAATTCGATTAGAAAAATTCAGAATGAGAAGTGCTGATGGCATTTGGGATAGATGTGCCATTAGAATTTTCTAAATTCGAACTATGTTGTACTAAATGGTACTAAATTTAATACAATTGAAAGGAGATGCACGGTCAATTTTAATTTCATACTCTACACCATGGTTCAGTGTCATTTTAGATTTTTCTCTGAGAAGTTGACATAAGGTAAAGTGCGGGTTCAATGCGACTTCATTCAAAAGAAAAAGTTTTTCATTCATTGTTGCACATATTTAGACACCACAAGGCATATACATGGTGAGATGAAAAAACTGCAACCAACTTTCAGACTGCTGTCATTTCTAAGCCACTCGTCCGACAGCTGTTACAATTGTTCCAGTGATAGCTCATTATATTCCTTACAAGCGTGCAAAAGCATTTTGGTGAGAATTTTCCAGAAAAAAAGTTATTCGTGATGGAATTCAAGCGTTATAGTGTGATTTCTTTATATTTGGCTGGTCCATGTTTTCGTATATGTCCCATATTACTGTACCTGCATAATTAAAGATTTTACGGTAATACAGTCACAATTTCAAACCGACTTTGCTGTAAATTGGAGTATGTGTTCTCAGTATATAGGAAACATCTTTGCAGAGTACTGTACATATGGGTCCTTGTTTTGGTATTGTCCGCTCATAACTGAACCTCCAGATCTTCCTTATATTTATGATTCCTTCCAAATGACGGAGTATATTAAAGTTCGGTCCGACCGAACTTAGCTACATTTTTACTTATTTTTTTTTTGTTTTTGTTTTTTTTGGGCAAAGACAGAAACATAAACCGATATATCGCTTATTAGTCCAATATAATTATTTTATAAATATTGTGATTATTATTTACATTTTAGTTCGATCCCTTCAACGGTTCATAAATACTATTATCACCAGTGATTAATAAGAATGTAAAAATAATGGCACTCTAGATTATGTCTATCTAGAATTTGAATGTTCTCTTAAGTTAATATTTACTTACTCATTGTCATTTTCATTCGTATCGGCATTTGCAGTTTCCCTTTTACTGTCCTCATCTTCGTCCTCTTTAAATGTGAAACTAATGTCATGCGGATCCTTTGCTGGCTTTAGATGACGCGGTAAGCTACGATTGCGTAAATTCAAATTCAAAAATTCTAAATCACTTTCACTCAGTCGCAAATCATTATTTGCTGATGCTGTCGTAGACTTTGGTGTACCACCGCCACCACGTTTTGGTGGCAGGGCTGGCTTCTTTTCCTCCTCCTCCTCCTCCACCACATCATCGACTAGCATTTCCAGTGCCATACACTCGGGATTGAAGCTACTCAAAGCCTCTTGGTCTGCCTCAGAGAAAAGATTAAAGTACCTCGATACATTTTCAATGGCTGTCGGTGGCGTGTAATTATGAAGCGTTTTGCCTCGTATCAAATCGCCCAAATGATCTTCATCGATGCCGAACAGAAACGGATCGTCGAGTAGGGTGTGTTTGGCATTCTGTTTGGTGGGCTCGGCCACAAATTGGCTACTGTCCACTGCCTGCGATGTTGTTGTCGTAGGTTGCTGTTGACGATTATTAAGGCTTAGGTTTTTTAATGTCTCCAATGTATCGCGCAAATTGTGACTGGACGGGCGATTCCGTGATGCTGTTCCGTGTTGGGCGCTATTTGTTTCGTTGGTACTTGTACTTGTTTCGTTATTTGTATCGCCACCGCCCTTTCGATGTCCTCTTAAAGAGCGTAAGAGTCGTTTGCTTTTACGTAAGGTACTGGAACCTGTACCCCCACCGCCACCTCCGCCGCTACTGCTGCCGTTGTTATTGGCTTGGCCTCCAGCATTTGTTTCACATTTTGAGGGAAATAAGGCCACTGGCGTTTGGTGTTCTTTGGTTGTTGCTCTGGATGGCGTATTAATATGGTTTTTTATCGTCATTGTTGCTGTATTATCGCGGGATGCATCTTCAGTGTCGTCTGCATCTGCGTCTAATTGCGTCTCGATAAAATCTATGGCCACCGTATCATACTCTGACTCGGGATTGTTGTTATTGTCATTTTCATTATTCTGCTCACTTGTTAAGCCCATCGATGCGGTCTTGGCCGCCGATAAGGCCAATCGCTGAGCCGCTGCCTTGCTGTAAACCTGTCGATAATATTTCTGTTGATCGCCGTACAAGAAACAGACACGCCACCATTGTTTGCAGGCCAGCAAATTGGCGGTACGTGGAACGACGGGTTCAATTGACGATGACATGCTCTCCATGTTGTTGCTGCTCATGGGTTTTGCTGTGGTTGTAGCTGTTATTAATGTTGTTATTGTTATATTATAATTTTCCCTTTTTGCAAGGATTTCTTCAACTTACAATTGAAGTTCAGCAGCAATAGCATCAGCAAAAGGAGTAGAGTAGAGGAGAAAAAAAAACGTACTCCTTGATGTTCGTGTACTTAAACATAGACTCTGTGTGGTAATTATTATGGTATCCTCTTTGTTTTCCTTTTTCTTCTTATTCTCTTTGGAACGTTTGTACTACATGTCGATCAGTTAGTTTCTTGCCGAGCGTTTTTTCTCTGTTTCTACTTAACGTGCAGTTGTGTGTGTCTGGCTACCAATTTCGTTGGATACAAAAAACATTTGCTAGTCCATAATTAATGTCGGTGTTTAGCATGTCTGCGACATAATATTCTTGTTCAGGGCAATATTGCAATTTATTAATGGCTCTCCGGCATCCTATGTGGTCGCTTCAGAAGCTGTTTCTTCCCTAAAGGAATAATAATGTTTTTTGTTAGGGAAAAACACAAATTCTAAAAACTTTTGAGGAAAAAACTATTCTCCATTGTCACTTTGTTTACCGAAGTCGTTAATTTTCCTTTACGATTTAATGGGTTTTTAGTTTTTGTCAAAAGAGGTGTTCTATATTTCCATGGGAAAGTAAGAATCGCGATGTCTGAACAGTTTTTTGCCATTCCGATCTGAATCAAAAGATCAAAGTCTAACATTCAATTTTTTTGTGTGTATGTAAAACCTAAAAAGGTCTACTTAAATACCAATTTATATTCTAAACAATTGTTAGAAAATGTACGTCCTATAAATTCGGACTTATAGATGGGAAACTACAAGTTAACAATGATTATACGCTTTCACCAATCTCAGAAATTGTAAAGTCTATAACAATTCTTTGAACTTTTTATTAAAAAATTATACCATATTCTTGTAATGTTCAACTTTACATGCCATAAGTTTTATTCGAAATGCTTTGTAAATTTATACTATTCGTTACATCATTTTGTTCGAAAAAACGAATTTGAAACGTCTACCATTAATCTCTTTGGATCCTTTTGGGCAACAAAGAAGAACCAGAAGTAAATTCAGAATTCTAGCTAAGGGCTTTTGTATTTGCTACTTTATGTTATATACAATTAGCCATATATCTACAGAGAGGTATATCATTTGTACAGAAAATTGTTCGTATCGGCCCTTTTTTTTAAATAGCCCCCTTGGGGGAAAATCCGCACAAGGAGTTCTTTGTGAGCACTTTACCCCCTGAAAGGGAATTGTTTATATAGGTCCGTAATATCGTATATCCCCCATATAACGATACCCCCCAATATTCAGTAGTTTGATGATTTTAGCCACTTTTTCCAATGGAATTATCTGGGCACTTTCCTATATTAGACATTGTAAAGATTTAAAATAAAATTTAATGGATTTTATTTTTTGAAAATTTTCTTATTCGTTCCAAATGTTGGAGGGTATTCAAAGTTCGGCCCGGCCGAATTGCTTTTTTACTTGTTTTTTTTTTTTTTTTTTTTTTTTTTTTTTTTGTGAAAATTATTGATGTGGAACAAATTGAAAAACATTTTTTAACTCCCACTATAACTTAGAGCTGGCCTAAAGCCATTCTAAACAAACGAATAACATATGAAACACTTAATCATGACATCGACTTTATGCATTTTTGTGCCGTTCTAACATAAAGCATGTTTTGTATCAGAAATGACAGCAGACTTGATCTATTCTAGATAATTTTAATATGAACTTGCTTTTATTTGAAGCTGTAAAGATAGATTATTTTCATGTTTTACTCATTTCTTATACTTTAACGATCTGATGAGTCAATAGCAAAAGGACTAATTACAAAAATTTTGAGATCACCTAAATTCGCCATGGTTTGTGTAATATGATTCGAGTCATTCTCCATTAAAGATAAAATTGAAGAAGTAATGACTTTTTATAAACTCCAGCCAAAGATTGAAAAGAAGAGAACAATGGAAAAAAATTCCAATAGAATAGACAAAGAATTAATGCAATTATAATTTCCATCAGATTACTATTCTTTAAACTGGCACTTCAATATTCGTGGCTGTTTCCATTTTTCTATTTTTTCTTCAATCTTTTGTCCATAATCCAACATTAACCTAATTTTTTGCTGTGGTTTCCATTCTCCTGTCTGCCAACAAGACCAAGCAGCCAACCAACCAACCAACACAATTTGACAATTGCTTTAATTACTGGCCGCATTGTTTGTGACTACAGTCCACAACTAACCCTTTTGGTCAAAAATTAAAACGTGTCTCATAAACCATTGACCAGCCATTTGTGGCTTTTTATGGTTGTTGTTGTCGTTTTTTTTTTTCTTTTTTTTTCTGGAATAACGGAAATATATACATTCTTTTTTCGCTGGCAAATTTTGAACTTTAGCCAAATTGTGGTGTTAAACGCTAAACCATTTCCATTCCCTGGAAACCTATTCAAACTACGACGAGATACTATCTCATATTCTTCTCGTGCCAATAGGCCATATGGAATTGTGGCCAACACATTAACACGGAACATTCACACTCTCAGAGTGTAGATTACACAAACACGCACACACTCTCACAAAACAGCTGCAAACATTTGCACATGAGTGTGGCGTACATACACATTTACTTGAGAGCGGACAGACATGCATAGATAAGTTGTAGTAGGCTTGCAACTTGCAACTGATTCCGGTACAAGAAAACACCGCATGCTCACACGTCACACAGTGGTAAACGTAAACGCATTGTTATGTTCGTGGTAATGATCGTGTTTTAAAACTATTAGTGTTGATTTATGAAAAGTTACCATCCTCCGCCTTCTTATTTTTGGTTTCTGTTTTTTTGGCTCATGTTCTATGAATCTTGTTGACATTAGGGTGGTACACAATGAAGTGCTGACTCCAAATACAATTTCTGGTAAGAATATATTGAACTGAAAGAAGGACAGACTGAAATATATAAAACAGGTTTTATTATCGAGAATTTATTATTTATTTTTAAATATTCTGTGTTGCTTAATTAAAAGCGAATTTTCACAAAATTAAAAAATTTGTGGCTGTGATATTACATAAAATGGTCTTAATTAAATTCATTATTCCACATCAAAATATAAAAATTTAACTAACAAATTAACAATAAAGTTCATCCTAATATACATACTTTTTCACATTCTTTGTCTTCTTTGAAATTCAAACTTTGTTAAGTTAATAAAAGTATTTTGTTCAAAACCTAAAACATACAAAGCTGTAAGCCAACAATATACCTATCTCGCAACAACAACATGTTGTACGCTAACACCATCTAAGTTTGAAGTCAACATAAAAAATGCCACAAGCAAATATGCATCGCAAACCTAAAGGTAGTTGGCAGACCAAGGTAAGGGGGCGAGGGCCCACCAAATATAAGAGGAATAATTTTTGTACTTTTTATCTGTGAACGAAATTTTAATTGAAAAACTTTTTTGCCATTGTTTATTTTTTCTTTAAATTGCAAATTGCTTTAAATACAATCGAGCAGATATCAAGGTATGCGGCCGGTAAGCGAACTAAAAAAATATTTGAAGATAGGGCTCAGCCATATTTCTTCTTTGGATTATGAAAATCCATTACTGACCGTGACTTAATCAAAAATGACTTTGGCATTGTTTTGTGGTATTTATTGGGAGTACGTGTTGCATTGGATGATTATTCGAGTTGATATTGCAACAAAAACAAGGGACACAGTGTTTTGAACTGGACAATGTTATGATTTTAAGGAAAATATGGCTGACACATACAAACAACTATAAATCGGATAGCATTGTTGTACCATTTTCACCCACTGGGAATACAAAATCTCCCTTTATAGCTGGATGGATGGAATATTTACACATATAATTCAAATATTTAATTTAAATATTCTTGAGATAGTCTCTCCTACAAACCCAAAGTACCAAATTGTAACATGTTGAGATGACAAACGTGGCTAAGACCATTTTTTATGCTCTCCACCATAGTATAGAGGGTATATTAAGTTTGTCATTCCGTTTGTAACACCTCAAAACATACAGATTTAGACCTCACAAAGTGTATATATTCTTGATCAGCATAGAATCCCTCTGTAGAAATCACTCTTTTTCGATCGAAGTGAAGTAGGTTGATAAAATTTTACTTAGACGTGTGCTTGTTCTGACGGGATTTTGGTAGTGAAAATTGGCTATATAGGTCCTCGTTTTGGTATAGCCCCATATAACTGTACCTCCCCATATTCGGTATTTTTATGATTTAAGAGACATTATTATTAAAGGAATTGTTTCAATTTTTGTATTTGAAGTTCGATATTTTACTACAGCCTCTGGCAGAAAATTCCCTGTGCGGCATTCGTCTTCGTATAGCCCCCATGTAACGGTACCGCCCAAAATTCGGAAGTTTGATGATTTTTGGGATATTATTTACCAGAATTGTTTGAAATTTCGCACTTGCAGTTCGTGGATTTAAAATTAACGTAATTAGAGGGATTTTTGATTAATATTTCCAAAGATTATTTTGGGCGAAAATTCCGGTCCTGTTTTCAAAATATTGATAAAAACTGCCTTCAAAGTACAAATACATAAGTCAAAAAAATCCGTAAATTTATGTATTAAAAATTCTAATATCGTTCCCTGAAGACATCAGAAGTCTTAATCTTACCTAAACGCCATTAATTCATATATATTGAAAATACATTTAAGGGTATGGTCCTACTTTATTAAAGTTTACGCAAAGAGTTTATACAAATCATCATTTTAGAAGTCAAAGGCTTCTTCAAATTTCACTATAAATCAACAAAGAATCTTCTTTATTTTCACAATATTGCAAGAAACTTTTTGAATAAATATAACGCAAAAGGGTATAACGGGTGAAGGTATAACCTTTAACTAGATCAAAATCGTTCATATTACTTAATTTTTGTTTTGGACTAATGTTAAACCATGAGACTTTCCTTATAGGTCCACATTTCTATATAGCCCCCATATAACTGTAACGCCAGATTAAGGTGTTTGATTTTATTCATATTTTTGAACAGAATTTGCTATCAGTTTGTAGTTTGGCAGAACTGTCTATAGAGATCCAATTTTACGTATAGTCCCCAAATAACTGTACAGAAAATTGCTTATACAGGTTCACGTCGTATAACCCCCCTATTTTTATGATTTTAGCTCCATTTTTTCACCGGAATTATTTTGGATTTCTAGGAGTTGGCAATCCTCTGACAGAAAATGGCCTGTGCAGATCCACGCTTTCGTACAGTCCCCTACCGTAACGGTACCACCCTATAATTGCTTTTTTATAACGTAAGCTGCATTTTTCAAACAGAATTATCTCAAAATTGATATTTTGAGTTCGTAATATGCGCTGGCCTCGGTCTGACAATTTGCTATAGTCTTCTTATGGTCCTATATAACTGAATCACCTAATATCCGGATTTTAGCGTTATTCTT